GCAGGGGGGTGCAGCCCCCCTAGTTTCCAAAATTTTTGACATTTCTTGGGCAAAATGCTCATGATTCAGGCAAAAGTACTTGGGAGAATAAACATTCTAAAAGTTTGCCAAGGCCAGGCTTGTAGGTTACTTTCTCTGATGTTTGCCTTGCCAAAATAGAGTTAAGGTCAAATGATATAAGGATCCAGGTGCTCTGTTTTGGAAAAGCCATATATCTTTTAAATGTGTATCATGGGAAATGATTTCCATCAACAGAACAATGACAAAAGAATCAAAGCAAACGAAGACCAAGACTTTTGTTTTTGTGGTGGCTCTGAAAAGAACCATTTTGAATGATTCCACAAAGCGTGGTTTTAAAATATTCAGAACTTTCTGTACGAGGAAGAATAAACAACCAATTTGGTGTCCGGTCGTTTCAATACAAAGTCATTTCGTTACAAAGTCATTTCAATGCAAGTCATTTCGATACAAGTCGAAGTTGATTCAATACACATTTTAAGTCAATTTGATACAAAACTTTAAGATACCAAGCAGTCTGAAATAGAATTTCCAAGTTTAGAATTGCCAAATGATACTAAATGTTTTTGTTTTGTAGTGGACGATGGCTCGTCTGACTTCCCTTCAAATCGGGCTTGTTTCAGAGATACAGTTCTACATATTCAGCTAGCGAATCGAAAAAGGTCCGAGACCTTCAGACAAACATATTTCTTTTTCTGGGGTAACATTCTTTTGCTGGATTGCTGTCGTATGTGATAAGGAGACAAAAAGACTTTCATTGGGATATTTCTTTTAGTTTACTTTTGCTACGAAACGACTTCAGTTTGTATCAAATCAACTTCCATTTCTATCAAACTGTGACTTGCATCGAAACAACTTTGTATTGTTCGACCATTAACCATTAACTGTTTCTTTTATAAGTTTTCGATTTTACTAGGCTGGCGATGGAGGTCATAGAGTATGCAAGGTTTCAAAATAACCATTTTTGGAATGATAACAGTTTCATTAGACGTGAGAACTGTGAACGGTTTTGTTTTTACTGCGATTTGAGTGTGTTTGAACAACACTCTTGCTTTGGAGCACTGTGTAATTTTTTTTAGGCAATAAGGTCACCGCCCCCCCAAGTCCGAAGGTGCCCATATCCCTATGGATGTTGTCAAATCACTCTTGGAAATTTGAAGCCTTTAGAGTCTTGTCACATT